ACTGGTCTGGTTGGAAAGCCAGCAGGAGCATCCCGCATAATGACTTCCTTGATAAATTTGGCATCAGAAATCTCAGCAGTCTTTCACAAAAGCACTGGGAAAATCTCCCACACTAGTTTGCTACTAGAAACCTGGTCACAGACCGGGCCGCGGGGGCGTTGACCCCCGGAACTCTCTCCAGGTAAACTCCAGGTAAACACACGAGCTTAAAAAATGTAATCGGCATTCCCTTGCAGTATCCTGACACTAATTAGTCTATACACAAAGATTAAATGCTTCAATATAAACTTCAGGAGCTCTTAGTATTGGGTTGTCGAAGGATATTGCAGACACATTTCTCTTCGAGCCTTCTTGGAGTTCAATTTCCCTCCTTTCAGGACGCCATTATTGTGGTTGACTGCTTGATGGTGAGAGCTCATATTTTATATATTTATACTGTACATAAACTGACTGCAACAGTGTTAAGAGAGGAACTTCACGAGCTCTGCGCAACGTCGCGCTGGTGCATGCGGCTGCTGTACTGAAGACAGCGACGGAAATTGTAGCCAAGAACTCGTACTTAGCTCACTGAACTGACGCATCCTTCTGGGTCCTTAGATAATGTTTTAAATAACTACCTCTACTCTTACACACACACACCACACACACACACACACACACACACACACACACACCACATTGCATCTGTAAATCCACGTCACATTTTACATCCTCTTTCGTACTTCTGCTCTAACTTAGTTTGTTTTGGTATATCTGTCAATGTAAATCACTTGGTGCAAGATTCTGTGAAGCTGACCTGTCCATTGGTGCCGACACCGTGGCAGGGGCGAAGCAAGACACCGTGGCAGGATCGAGGCAAGACACCATAACAGGGGCGAGGAAAGACACCGTGGCAGGAGCGAGGCAAGACACCATACCAGGGGCGAGGCAAGACACCGTGGCAGGGGCGAGGCAAGACACCGTGGCAGGGGCGACTCAAGACACGTCTGACGAATGTCAAGAAGGTAAGGTAGCCGATAGCTTTATTTCGGGTCACAGCAAGAGCCAGCTCTGGTTTACCCGTTCAATCAGAGGTGGTTCCAGGACGGACACAAGCGTATCAGTGTCAGACTACAAGCGTATCACAGGTGGTGCAAGGACGGACAGAAGCGTATGCGACCTTAGGCTTATCCAGGTTGTATCGGGTGATGTACAATTTCTCTTAACACTTAACTTAAAGAAAACTGCACCTCATCCACGACTCTCTCATGCGAGAGTCGGATGCAACAACTTGCAAGCAGCTTACACTAACAGCTTCCAAATTACTGCTCACGAGGAAGTACTAAACAAAGTATCAGTGATCACTTTAAAATATGGTTTCTCTTCCCTCGGATCAAACCAAACTGGTACCTATTCCCAGGTTCTATATGACTCGTTTTAAAGTTCTGACTTTCCCAGTGAATATAATGAATAATATTATGGTTATTATTTTTTTTAATTCACGTGACGGGTAAGTGAGGGATAAGTGTGCTCACATGACAGGGTTGGTAACAGTGTACTCACATGACATGTGGATAACTGTACTCACATGACGGGGTGGGATAACAGTGTACTCACATGCAGGGGGGATAACATGTACTCACATGACAGTTGGGATAACAGGTACTCAATGACATTTGGGGGTAACGTGTACTCACATGACAGTTATAACAGTGTACCACATACGGTGTGGATAACTGTGTACTACAGGGACAGGTGGGGATAACAGTTACCCCATGACAGGTGGGGGATAACTGTGTAACTCCCCTGACATTTGTGGGATAACTGGTAATCACATGACAGGTTGGGATAACATGTACTCACACATGACAGGTGTGGGATAACAGTGTACCACATGACAGGGGGTGGGATAACTGTGTACTCACATTGCAGGGTGATAAAAATGTACTCACAATGACAGGTGGGGATAACATTTGTACTCACATGACAGGTGGGGGATAACAGTGTGCCACATGACAGGTTGGATAACAGTGTGCTCAAAATGAACAGGTGTGGGAAACAGTGTACTCACATACAGGTGTGGATAACTGAGTACTTCACATGACAGTTGGGATAACTGTGTACCACATGACAGGGGGGAAAACTGTGTACTCACATGACGGGTTGTGGTATAACAGTGTACTACAATGACAGGTGTGGTTAACATTGTACTCCTGACTGGTGTGGAAATAACTGTGACTCACATGACAGGTGTGGGCATAACAGTGTAACTCACATGACAGGGGTGGATAACAGTGCCCAAACATGACATGGGGATAACTGTGAAATTTCACATGACGGGTTGGGATAAAGTGTACTCACATGACGGTGTGGGATAACTGTGTACTCACATGACAGGTGTGGGATAACAGTGTACTCACATGACAGGTGTGGGATAACAGTGTACTCACATGACAGGTGTGGGATAACAGTGTACTCACATGACAGGTGTGGGATAACTGTGTACTCACATGACAGGTGTGGGATAACAGTGTACTCACATGACAGGTGTGGGATAACTGTGTACTCACATGACAGGTGTGGGATAAGTGTACTCACATGACAGGTGTGGGATAACTGTGTACTCACATGACAGGTGTGGGATAACAGTGTACTCACATGACAGGTGTGGGATAACAGTGTACTCACATGACTGGTGTGGGATAACTGTGTACTCACATGACAGGTGTGGGATAACAGTGTACTCACATGACAGGTGTGGGATAACAGTGTACCACATGACAGGTGGGATAACTGTGTACTCACATGAAAAGGTGTGGGATAACAGGTACTCACATGACGGTGGGGATAACTGTGTACTCACATGACAGGTGTGGGATAACAGTGTACTCACATGACAGGTGTGGGATAACAGTGTACTCACATGACTGGTGTGGGATAACAGTGTACTCACATGACTGGTGTGGGATAACTGTGTACTCACATGACAGGTGTGGGATAACAGTGTACTCACATGACAGGTGTGGGATAACAGTGTACTCACATGACAGGTGTGGGATAACAGTGTACTCACATGACAGGTGTGGGATAACTGTGTACTCACATGACAGTGTGGGATAACAGTGTACTCACATGACAGGTGTGGGATAACATTTGTACTCACATGACTGGTGTGGGATAACTGTGTACTCACATGACAGGTGTGGGATAACAGTGTACTCACATGACAGGTGTGGATAAGTGTGTACTCACATGACAGGTGTGGGAAAAACTGTGTACTCACATGACAGGTGTGGGAAATAACTGTGTACTCACATGACAGGTGTGGGGATAACAGGTACTCACATGAAGGTGTGGGAAAAACATGTACTCAAATGACAGGTGTGGGATAACGTGTGCCACATACAGGTGTGGGATAACATGTACTCACATGACAGGTGTGGGATAACAGTTGCTCACATACAGGTGGGGATAACAGTGTACTCACATGACGGGTGTGGGATAACGTGTGCTCACATGACAGGTGTGGGAAACAGGGTACTCCCCATTGACAGGTGGGGGGATAACAGTGTACCACATGACAGGTGTGGGACAACATGTGTACTCACATGACAGGTTGGGACAACAGTGTACTCACATGACAGGGTGGGAAAAACTTTGTACTCACTGACAGGTGTGGGATAACTGTGTACTCACATGACAGGTGTGGGATAACAGTGTACTCACATGACAGGGGTGGGAAAACAGTGTACTCACAGACAGGTTGGGATAACAGTGTGCTCACATGACAGGTGTGGGATAACAGTGTACTCACATGACAGGTGTGGGATAACCAGTGTGCTCACATGACATTTTTGTGGGATAACAGTGTACTCACATGACAGGTGTGGGATAACAGTGTGCTCACATGACAGGTGTGGGACAACAGTGTACTCACATGACAGGTGTGGGATAAGTGTACTCACATGACAGGTGTGGGAAAAACAGTGTACCACATGACAGGTGTGGGACAACAGTGTACTCACATGCCCAGGTGTGGATAACAGTGTACTCACATGACAGGTGTGGGATAACTGTGTACTCACAGACAGGTGGGGATAACTGTGTACTCACATGACAGGTGTGGATAAGTGTGTACTCACATGACGGTGTGGGATAATGTGTACTCACATGACAGGTGTGGGATAAAAGTGTGTACTCACATGACAGGTGTGGGATAAGTGTGTACTCACATGACAGGTGTGGGATAAGTGTGTACTCACATGACAGGTGTGGGATAACTGTGTACTCACATGACAGGTGTGGGATAACTGTGTACTCACATGACAGGTGTGGGATAACAGTGTACTCACATGACAGGTGTGGATAAGTGTGTACTCACATGACTGGTGTGGGATAAGTGTGTACTCACATGACAGGTGTGGGATAAGTGTGTACTCACATGACTGGTGTGAGATAACTGTGTACTCACATGACAGGTGTGGGATAACTGTGTACTCACATGACTGGTGTGAGATAACTGTGTACTCACATGACAGGTGTGGGATAACTGTGTACTCACATGACAGGTGTGGGATAACTCTGTACTCACATAACAGGTGTGAGGTAACAATGTGTACACACATGACGGTAAGTAACAATATGTGCACACATAACTGGTGGGTAACAATGTGTACTCACATGACAGGCAAGGAATAACTGTGTACTTACATCTGAGGAATAACAATGTGTATTCACATAACATCTGAGGAATAACAATGTGTACTCACATAACATCTGAGGAATAACAATGTGTATTCACATGACAGGCATGGAATAATGTGTACTCACATGACAGGCAAGGAATAACTGTATACTCACATGACATCAGAGGAATAACAATGTGTACTCACATGACAGACGAGGAATAACGATGTGTACTCACATGACAGACGAGGAATAACAATGTGTACTCACATGACAAGAAAGGGGGTATTAATGTGGACTGCATGACAGGAAAGGGGGTAACAATGTATACTCACATGGCAGGTGTCAGTGAGTGGTGGAGAGCCAGTGTCAGCCACCACCACTGTCAGCCAGTATCCCCGCGTTGCTTCCCGGTCCAGCGCCACTACCGTCCTCACAACACCTGTAAACACAGCCATCTGTTACCGCTGTTGTTAATGCCGGTTCCCCCCCCCCTGCACCAGTATGTGCAATAAATTCCCTATTTGTAATTACTTTGTTAAATTTGTCGGGGGAAGGGGGGGGGTGGATAAAAGATGAGCTGTAGCTTTTGGTCCAGTTGGACAACAGAGAGGTTTAGGTAATACAAAGAAACGGTTTGCTCAGCTTCCAAACTTTGTTAACTGATGTGAAGAAGTGCAGACGTGCATTAGCGTACCTCAGTTCCTTCAACATGGGGTGGGTGGGTGTGTGTGGGTGTGGGCGTGTGTGTGTGGGCGTGTGTGGGTGGGTTTGGGCGTGTGTGGGTGGGTGTGGGCGTGTGTGGGTGGGTGTGGGCGTGTGTAGGTGGGTGTGGGCGTGTGCAGGGGTTCGTTCTCTGGTCAGGAAACTCATTGCTTCAACTATTATCACTGAAATTTTCATATTTAGGTTAATACAGTTCCATCAGCGAGTAAACATGATGATCAAAGTACAAGCACTTTGCAATTACACTGTTGCGTGGAACTCACAGCACACTGCAGCGTGAGTCACACACACACACACACACACACACACACACACACACACACACACACACACACACAACACGGTTCAGATCAAAATATCACAACACACTAACACCTGTAACCAAGAGGACAGAGCAACACTGCAGTAGACCAGCCTGACCATTTCGGGAAACAAGAGAGAAGAGAGTCAGAGGACAGGAAAAGCAAAGGAAACACAGAAGACAAGTCAAGAGGAAAGAAGTACTGTAGTAGTAAAGGTCAGGATAGGTCAGGTCCGGTCACAAGTGTTTTGAAGATTGGAACATCTGACATATTGAGAAAACAAGCATGTACAGAGGTGAAGCATATTTGTATGTAAATAAGTCGAGCATGAGTGGTGTGCCATCTTTTATATGTTTGTAAAAATAACTTAGTTTCTAATGAAGAAAGAGGCATAATACTATTCCCTACTCTCCTTCTACCACTCCCGTCCCACTTTCTCCTCTCTTATATGTACTGGCACCCTTCCCACCGTGTTTCTGGCCGAGATGTCACAAGTTTATCTCCTATGTGAGAGTTATTTGTGTAAGGTTTCTAATTATCCAAGAATGCAATGAAAAATCAAACACGTGCAACACTTGGGTATCCAGCAGAATCCCAGGTGCTACATATGTGCCTTATTCATCAAGTTTCCGGTATTTTACACTTCTGAAGCAACGAGGTGAAATCTATACTACCTCGTGTGACCCCATTCCCGCTATCAAATATTTTTATGAAGAATTTTTAATAATGTTTTTTGTTGTGAGTTTTATGATGCATTTTAAAAACATCGCTTTTTTTTCCTGTTCCCATTACTGCCCATTGATTTGTACCGTGTCTGTACTCTTATTTTATGATCTGATATCTCTTCTATTTTCTCTTTCTGTAACCAGTTCCCCGAACCTTCGCTCTTCGATATTCACGACCAATATCTCTTTGAATTTATTTTACGGCATTTCTGAACTTTTCTATCTTCATTCTGTTGTGTGTGTCTTGATGCTGGTGAAGGGCTCGTGATCCAAGGAATTGAAAGTAACCCTCCCACTGGATAAAAAATAGCTGCCTTCCACTACCCAGACACTGTACAACCCTATATGGATTTAGTGTTTTTCCATGATAACGATGTATAAACAAAATTAAGCTGTAATAAACAATTTTCAATGAATAAACGGAAGAGTGGACGAGATGGCTCGAACCGCGGTGAGTAGACTGACAGTCTGACACTATGTAGCCAAGACTGTCGAACGTCGGACTGTCAATTTAGGGACCGCGGTTGGAGCCCCTCATCAACTCACTCTCTATTCATAACGATGTATTTTTCACAATACTTCAAGGTTGGCAAACCATACCACAGTCCAATCTCGGTTTCTTCAGTGCTCCTCCAAACATTTATTGCAACGGTATTTCAAAGTTATTCGATTAATTGCAAGTTTTTTTTAGCTACTTTAGTTTTATCTTCATCATTTATTGTTAACTTTATCCGGAATTTCTCTATTAAATGTTCTCGAGATTTTATGTTCACTTTTCCAAGGACACTGGTGAGAGTAATTCACTTTGACTTTGTTTTACCCCAAATAATTCAAACATGCGTCATTATAAGTCAATCGTAAAAATCACAATCAGGTCGTATCCCACCGAGACAGGGTGACCTAAAAAGAAAAACGAAAGTTTCTCTTTTTAAAATTAGCAATGTATACAGGAGAAAGGGTTACTGGCCCCTTGTTTCAGGCATTTTAGTCGCCTCTTACAATACGCATGGCTTACGGAGGAATTCTGTTCCACTTCCCCATGGACATAGGAAATAAACAAGAACAAGAACTAGCAAGAAAATAGAAGAAAACCCAGAGAAGTGTGTATAAATGTGCTTGTACATACATGTGTAGAGTGGCCTATTCTAAGCAGAAGTAGCAAGACGTACCTGAAATCTTGCATGTTTATGAGACAGAAAAAAGACAATAGCAATCGTACCATCATGTAAAACAATCACAGGCTTCTGTTTCACACTCAACTGGCAGGACGGTAGTACCTCCCTGGGAGGTTGCTGTCTACCAACCTACTACCCAAACTTATTTATCAACATTAAGTATAATTATCCATCTAATGCTCCTGCCTGATCTGTCTCTTCAAATTATTCCAACAGTTTTGAATTCCTTCTTTGTAAAATATTTCTGCATCGTCTGCAAACACATTCATATCTTTTTATAGAATAAACTCTAAGAAAACCTTTGTCAGGTGTGTGTGTGTGTGTGTGTGTGTGTTACCATTCTGTCCTAGGTACATGTCGATTAGACACGTGTGTGTGTGTGTGTGTGTGTGTGTGTGTGTGTGTGTGTGTTGCTACAGGTCACAGTTGCATGTAAAGACAAAATAAACGTATTTACTTGCAATGTGAATCTATCTAAATCACACTGTAGTCGTCACGGAATATTCCAGGAAGAACTGGCTTTCTCTAAGAAAGCCCGGAGAGAAAAATGGTACGAGCATGGAGGGATAGTGTCCATGGGTGCAGTACTGAGACGCCGACGTGACTAGCACCAACGAAGGTAATCTGTGCGTCCTCTGAGAGCTGCACATTGTACCCTATGGACCAATACCTTCCTTCTCGCCCAAAAACATCGCCTCTCGGTAAGATAGCTCCCGCGGTGCTGCTAATGCTGTCCTTTTTTGTAGGATGTCGTGTGTAACAGGTGTTCCCACGAACACACTGTGGTGAATGCACCATGAATGTCAACTGGAGTGTGTCTTGTGTAGGTTTGAGGGCTGTAATAAGACTTACGTTTTTTTAAAGTTTTACTACGCGTCTTACACTCCTGTGGGCAGTAATCTTATGACTACTGCCCACAGGATGGGTATAAGGGGCATAATAAAGATATCAAATTATATATATATATATATATATATATATATATATATATTGAATCTTGTTTCATAAAAAGCAGTTTTGACAATATATATTTCCTTTGTTTATATATAATATTATATATATATATATATATATATATATATATATATATATATATATATATATATATATATATATATATATATATATATAAATGTCGTGCCGAATATGTAAAACTGGTCAGTTAGCAAGAACTCATTTAAAATTAAGTCCTTTCTGAAATTTTCTTTTACGTTTAAAGATATATTTTTTCGTTAATGTAAAAATTCTTAATTTTGCACCAAAAGAATCTTAGAAAACTTACCTAACCTTATTATAACAAGAGCAATTTATTTTAGCCTAACCCAACAAAATATATTTTAAATACGTTTACAGTAATTTAGTACTAAACAAACACAATCAAATATATTTTTTTCGTTAGGTTCAGAATGATTTTGGCGAAATTATTGCATACACAAATTTTCACTTGTCCTATATGGCAAGATGAGCGTTGCTATTTAAGCCAAGATCGTAAGTTCTGCCTATTCGGCACGACATATATATATATATATATATATATATATATATATATATATATATATATATATATATATATATATATAATTATATAAAATATAATATATTAAATATAATTATTATATATAATATATATTTAATATTTAATTGGTCAGGAGTGATGGATGTTTATTTGTGTGAATGTTTGGTCAGTGTGTGAATGTTTGATTGTATGAATGTTTTATCAGTACTTTTACTCGTCTCAAAGGTGTAACATATTTGGTCAGATGAATGTTTTATCTATACATTCACTCAACGCATTCACAACGGTACGTACACCCATACACATTTGCAAGTCAAACGTACACTACAAAATCATAAACCATGTACTCAGTACACAACAAAAAATAAATATCACTAAAACAACTCGCATCATTTAAAACACTGAATGTTAATGAAAAAAAAACTCGTTTAAAATTTCCCAGAGTTTCCTACAAGTAGAATTTTATAGATGTATAGCTACTGGAGGTTGAAACTTGCAGCACACCACAAGTCACACAGAGTAGGGCAGGAGCACTCCAAGCAGTTGAATATATAGGTGTAGGCAGATAATCAAAATAGAAACTGGTAGCAGACTATCCTTTTAAGGCAAGGTTTCTCCCAAAACCGGGCTTTATTATATATTATGAAGGTGGTCTTGAAGACAGTAGAAGTGTTGAAGACGGGGCCCGGAGAGGGGGGGGGGCTTAAGGGTTGCAATAGCGCCTTCAAGACATCTAGTGGTCTCGAAGGCAGCGAGGAAACTTGAAGACGGGGGTCTTAGGGGTTCCTTGGGGTCATGAAGACAGTTACAGGTGTGTTAACAATGATAACATGAGAGACATGATGTAGATTCCTAGTCACTATTTCGACTTCTCTTCTTTCACAGCGTTGAGTCTACCGTCGTCATCAGTGTATTTCTCTCCTCTTCCTCCTCTTCCATGTAGGTTACCAAAACTACAACATTTCTCGTTTCGACTGTGTGTGGTGTGTGTGTGTGTG